TTACGAACTTTCAATTTTTTGTATCAGTATAGTATGATATCTACTAGATTAGTGTGCTCACTTTTTATTAACCATATCAAATCAAGAAGACCAAAATACAGATCCTGATTAACAAAAGGGTTGTGAATAATTTACCTTCCCAACTTTTTTCAAGTGATCGTGGAGGTTAACCCATTAAAATATCTATTTATTTATTTTTAATCATGATTTTGTCTTTTTTATGAACTGCTGTAATAGGGACATTCCAGTAGATCTATTGGACATTCTAATTTATTATGTAAGGAATGAAAATCCTAATTATATCGTTTGCTTCCACATTTAAAATATAAATTCGTTTCTTTTAAGTTTTGGACATTCATATAAATTATTTTAATATATTATTTTATTAATTGTAAAATTATTCCGGACCAAATTTTCAGACCCGGGTGTTACAAATAATATAGTTATTTTAAATTTTTTCATTAATATAAAATAAAACTAAATATTTAAAACAAATATAAAATGTTGAGTATTAAATTATAATTAAAAAGTATTAAAAATTAATTTATAAAAATATCAAAATTTAAGAACTAATTAATAATTTATCCTAAATTTTAACATGATATATTATGTGTTATTTTAAAAAAACTAGTTTAAATTAAAAATAATATTTTATACTCAGAATTCACTTAATTTTACTAATTGGCTTAACTTCAACCATAGTGGATTGCAAAACAAGAGCGAATGGGGAGAGAGAGAAGGGGACACCAAAAGATAAATAAAGTGACTCAAAAGATCTGTTTTCAAGGGAAAAAAAAAATTAAAAATTAAAAGTGACTACAAGTAACTTTGGCACGGTGAGCTAAAGGATGACAAATATTCATTTTGATACTAAAGTGAATATTCTTCTTTTGGATTAATTAGTTTGCACTCTCCATTTTGGTGAGTTGGTGTCCCCCAACTTCTTCCAATGCTTTATGCTTTAAATTGATTCCAAACTCCCAAACCAAGAAGATTCAGAGAATTTTTTTTATATCATTTTTGTGGGCAAAGTAATTGTAGTAAGGGTTAAGTTGATGATGGTAAGAGAAATACATGAAGGATGGAGAAGAACAATGAGATGGTGGTAGTTATGTAAATCCGTTCAAAGAGGGGGACAAAGAAACAACCAGACAACGAGAAGTACCTTCTTGCATCCAGATTGACCAAGAATGCATAAAGAAAGTCGGCCTTTTGTATTCGACATCTTATATCATCATAGCTCAGAATCTAGCTTTCGTCATCTTGGCTGCTCACCAACCACAACAAATGTGTATGGTTTATGAATGATAAGCTGCCACCCAACAAATACCTGTGAGAACGCCCTCCACTTGTTGATCAATACAAAAGGAATTAACAGCGCGTATGGTTATACAGCAAAACGTCTTTAAAACATGTCTCATCTGCAATATGAAGCTAGAATCTTAACCTGCCATGAACTCTTAAGAACAACTTATCCGTCTTGTTCCCAAGAGAATTTTAACATACTGATGATCGTAACAGCCTAAGAATGAAAGGGTAGACATACAGTTGCATGTTACATTCAAGCAACAATGCTCCAATTCATACATTTAACTAGCTAAGACCAGTATCCAAAAAAAGGGGAACGGAGATATAAAGCGACCAAGTCAATATAATCTACGTCGTAATTTCCGTCAGAGCACGGAAGCCATCGGAGGTTACAACCAGAGAAGGAAATGGTACGAGAGGCGCGTTGCTCTTACGCTCCGCGAGTAAAGCCCTAGTCCTCTTCTGCATACCAATTAAGACATTGTGCCACGTGTTAACTCTTGATTGAGCCTTACCATGAACGCCTACATTCATATCTGTCAAATCCTCCGACCTCACTTCCAGCACCTCCTCTGGCTTTCCGCCGTCGAGCATCCAAATCAAGCAGGAACAGAAGCCTTTGGTGATCTCGGAGTCGCTATCAGCTTTAAATCTCATCTTCCCAAACTCGTCGATTCTAGCATCCAACCAGACCTGAGTGGTGCAACCTGTGACTCGATTCGCCGGTAACCGAGCCGACTCCTCGAATGGAGGCAGAATTTCCGCGTAACTTAAAAGCCGCTTGACCCGGTCGATCGGCTCCGTTAAGGACGCAAATTCCGAAGCCAGCCGTTGCAACTTGCCACCTACGATTCCAGAAGTTCCGTATGGCGTCTCAGCAGCTGCTGTTAAGCAAGAAGCAGAAAATTCAGGCTTCTGACTTTTGAATTTCCGGCGCAAACAACGATTTGAACCAGAATCGCGCGGAGAATCTAATGACTTGAGTGAGAATCCCGTCTTACAGGGATTAAATCGAGTGTATTTCCAGTTAGGGTTGCTATTGTTCGTCAATACTACGGAGGAAGGAGGAAAAGGCTTTAAGGCGGAAGAGTTCATGCTTGGAAAGAAAGAAAAATGAAAGGAAAATGGGAGAATTGGCGAGAGAAGAAAATAAAGAGGTGAAATCTGGTCAAGATGAAGCGAGAGAAACGTATGAAATTAGTTTATTTGATGAGGAGATCCTTGAACTTCGGAGCGTTCGTATAAGGCTCTGACAGAGGAAGGTCAGGGGAGAAATGCGAAAACTCACGGCACGCTAACAATAGCTTCGCGGAGGAGCAGGCTTATAAAGGCGCCAAAAAATTTCTTTTTTATTTTATTTTATTTTATTTTAATTTTTCTTTTTTGATAACGTCAATTTAGTTTTCCGATGAAGAAGAGAAAATAAATTATTAATTTTTTTAAAGGGAATATGAATTATCAAATTTAGTTTATAAACACGTTGTTTATTTTCTAATTATTTATTTTCATTGACATATAAAACATATGATAGATCAAAGAATATGATTACAGATATTTTTACTTTCAATTCTTCTATTTTTTTTTTAATCTTGCTCATAGTTTAGAAGAAACCCAAAATTTGTATAAAATAAAAAATTATTTATAACAATGAAATTTTTTACATAAAACTATAAAAATTGAGTATGTGTGAAATCATAACAATTTATTTAATATCTTAGTTTAATTTATATCAAATTTTATTAAAAATTAGTGCATTTTTTGCAAATAAATTTTACAATATTTTTGGATTTATTCTAAGTATGATCTTAACCTTTGAAAGTATATAATTAAAATTTTAATTTTTTCACAAAGAAAAGTATAACTATAGAATAACGTAATTTTAGGAAGACATTTGATCTTTTATTTTTATTTTTTGTAAATTTACTTTTATTCGTATTTAATTAAATAAAAATATTATATATTTTGTCAATTAATTTGTTGCAAACAGTATGTTACTTTTTTTTGCCCACTTTAGGAGATCATCCTTAAATTGTACGATCATGATTACACATCATTAATTTAATGGCGAATAGTTCTTCTCGTGGTGTTTATTTAATTATTAATGAAACTGTAATATGGTCATATATATATATATATATCTATTAAATAATTCATATAATAGATGCTTCTATAAATAAATTTTATATAACTAATTAAATTTAATTTATTATACCAAGTAAATAGTATCTAATTTAAGTAATGATATACTCTCGTTATAAAGTTAATTATTCAAGTTACAATTATATCTTTATTCTATTACTAGAGCTATTGTGGTTATTTCTAAAATTAGCATCCTCCTTTTACCAAATCAATTGGATCTATGTCAATTAGAATTTCTTTTTAGAACAAATAAAAATAAAAATTTCTTGGATTTTCAAAAAATAAAGGTTTTGTAAGTTTTAGTATAAGTAATTATCTAAATTGTAAATTCAATGTTTTTTGCTCAATCATGTTCACTTGCAATTAGCACCCTCAAATTATTTTTTAAAATAAAAAATTATGTTAAGTTAAATTTTTTTAATCCATTGTGAATACTCCAACTAAAGGAAGTTATCCATTCTGAAATATTTTTTTAATTTAAAAATGTAGTAAGTTTATTTAGACTAAACACAATTTAATCATTACAATCTCATAAATATATTGATAAATTAAATTTTTGACTCAACTAAATCAAACATCATAATTCATTTATTATTATTTCATAATACATTTATAAAGCTGTAAAAATATTCTTTTTAAGAATAATACAAAAGTTTTAATCTTTAAACGACCGTGTTATTAGTTATTTAGAACATTTGAATGTAAGAATGCAATAATATGATTTATTTAAATATTTTTATTTTTTAATAAATTGAGAGTTTTATGTATTTATTTAACATACTAGAATTTTATGAAATTAAAATTTAATGAATAAATATTACATTTATTGATATATAGTAATATAAGTGTATTTTATTCTACAAAGTAAGAATAAAGTGGCTCATTTTTGTTAAAGAAATTTCGTAGAAAGACACTTCAAATGTGAAACTTGTTATATAACTATGCAAAATAATTTGATACCAGTTTTCTATGTCACGGATCATACCTTATCTTATAGGATAATGATCGGGAATATACTTATTTAAATATCATAAACTCAAGTTAAGCAAAATAACTTAATTTTATATTAATCATAACAGAGTCACATAAGCGTTATATATTTTAAATATAAAACATAAACATATGTACGAGATTTCTAAATTTTTTTGCTTACATTACTAAATAAAAATATGAAATAGTAACCTCAATATCAGAGTCTAGCTTCAAAACTTTCCTCTGTATCACCGTTATCTCTGCAGTGATATCTTTAGTATCCGTAGGGTGATAGGAAGGTGAGATAAAATATCTCAATAAGCAATATTATGAAATTACAATATAGTACATACAACATATAATTTTTTTATACACAACAAAATATATATTATAAAATCTTTCAAAAATAGATACGAATCAGAAGACAAATGTACAAATCAGAAAACATATTTATAATTATTTCGTTGTATATTTCATCACTATTGTAGATGATCAATCAGTTACTATACATTATGCATAGACACAGATACTTATCACTAATTGTCCATGTACTCGGATATGGAACAACATACATGAGTACCTTGAAATACTGTTACTCTCCGAATACGAAACGGTTAGGTTACACAGATCAGACTGTTTTTTCATACACCTGAATATGGAACAATTATGTATGGATACAATTTTTTATTATACCACTAAATTTAAAAGGTTCTCACATTTTTTTTTATGTCTCTTCATGCTTATTTTAGCTCATTTATCTTTATCCATTCTTTTTTCTTTTAACTCTAAACTATGTCTTTACTCTTATTATATATTTTTAAACATACATAAAGATTAAATTAAATATATCAAACATAAAAAATTAATTTGGGAGTACTTTCAAGCTATCACATTCCAATTATCTTTTTTAGTGTGCTTGTTGTGTACTTATACAAGATAATTATAAAATTAATCTTAAATGAGAAAACAAAATTCATATAAATTTAAGATCATTAGACAACCTATTTATAAGATATTTTTTATTTATGAGGCTATAAATGTTTCAATAGTTTAAAATGTTGAGATGGCAAGACACATAAAGGAAAACTCTTAATCAAACTTGACTTATTCTTGCATATTGGATTAATTACTTGATTATTTTTATAATAACATTTAATGTAATGACCCAAAATTTAATTGAATAGAAATATTGAAAGAATGAAATATAGGCGGAAGCAATTAAGAATTTAGAGTTTATATTTTTTATACAGTTAAATCAGAATGTCCAATAGAACTACGGGAATATTCCTTAAAGGAGATTAAAACAACATAAATAAAAATACAACTAAAAATCTATAGGGTCGACATTCGCAGTGCAACTGGTAGAAAATGAGAGACAACCTTTAATCACTAATTTTCTAGCTGTTCAGGATCAGGATCTTGGTCGTCCTGATCTAAAATAGTTAAATAAATGGAATGAGCTATAGTACCCCATTAAAAATATTAACACTTAACAACCAATACGGAAAATCAAAGATTGATAAAAATTATAAAACAACCAATGGAGTTATTTTTCTTTTTAGATAAATTCATTTAATTTTAAAAATATTAGTTTTATACTCACCTTTTAGGTTTTTAAATACGACTTATGAAGGTAAGAATCAAGATAGCAGTTCATTATATATTTTAAGAAACAATAATAATCAAACTTTACATTTTACTTACTTACCGTTGTTTCTGGGGATCCATAGGGGTTCTTCTTACACATGGACCTAATATTCAATCTATTAAATAACTGGTCCTCATACCTCATCCGGTAATGGGTGCCAAATCTACCACCGTCTCAATACCCCATCCGGTATGAGGTTCACAAATACTTCTCAACCCCTTCCAGTATGGGACTTCTCAGTCCCGTTTGACTGAGGTAATGCCTACAATAGGGTTCTCCCTACATATCAGGTCCGTATATCATTTTCCATGACACTAGGTAAGCCTTTCACATGCATATCATCATCATTAACCAACCATCAATTTCATACAAGAATTTTATTTTATAATTACAGGATAATATAACGGCAATCAAATAGGCAATATAAGTTTATATTTTAATAATTAAGAAAAACATAGTCAGAATATTTATTTTAGATCAATCAACATATAAAGATAAAACAGTTATGCAAACTAATAATTGAAAAGACAATTAAAATTAAAAAATTAAAGCATCTGATGTAACAGTAAGCAATTAAGACAATATAAAAACAAATATGTAGCACCAGATAAACTATACACTGACCAGTTACCGGTTCCATCAGTGACTTGTATTTATTAAATAAAAGGTTGCCAATATTCTCAAATTTCATCGTTTATTATTATTTAAGCTTTAATTAACCGTAACAGGAGAAAGAATGAGAGATTCTTATCCCTGGTAGGTGTTCGAAACACCACCTTTTTCATTGCACTTTTTTGCGGTTCCCAGATTCTTGGATTTTTCTGCGAAGATCAAAAAATACACGTCACATATATCGAAATACCCAAAAAGGCCAAAAATAAGGGTTTTAAAATTTTCGGCTAGTTTAGGGTTCCAGCACGGTGGCATCATCGTGCTCTGGCATCGGCTTCATCGCCTACGGTGGTGTCTTCTCTCAGTCTGATCAATTTTGGCTGGTTCTCTGCAAAAATCTACAAAATTCGAGATTAGGTGGCTTATGTTGGTAGAAAAAAGGAAAAAAACTGAAGCTTACAAGCAGAGTAGTTTTTCGGTGCAGCAACTTCGCCGTTTCTTCCTTGCGGCCGAAGGTTTTCTTCAGTCGACCTGCACAAAAAAGAGTTAGAAATTCAATGGTAAAAAATAGAAGGAAACGGAAAGGGGATCAGGCTCACTAGAGG